GACCCTGAGAAATAATCTCTCACTTTCTACATGATACCAGCACTTGACTCAATCTTCATTTTGATCCCTTCATTCTTGAAGATTTCTATTTCCATATTGCTTTCCAAACCCCTATTATCACAATTCTTTGAGGTATTCCTAGTGGAATGTACTTGCATGAAAATAAGATCAAAACTCAATAAAACAGAGCACATTACATGTCATATTATACAAAAGTCTACAGTCCAATGGCACATGTAGCAAAGGCAAAATGAATTAAAATTGTATCTAATGTTTTAGTACTTACATATTTTCTTATATATTCTGAATTTATTCTATGTGATTTTTGAGAGAGAGAGAAAGAGAGGGAGAGAGACAATCTCAAGCAGGCTCCACACTCAGCATAGAGCCCTACACAGGGCTCAGTCTCATGACCCTGAGATCATGACCTGGGCCGAAGTCAAGAGTTGGATGCTCCACCAACTGAGCTACGCAGGCATCCCATTATTCTATGTGATTTTGACAAAACACAGAATATAGAGAACTTCAGGTTAGATTGAGAAGTTAAAATTCTGCTTAAATATGTCTCATTACTGCTGTAAAATGGTTTACAAAAGAGGACTGCTGAGATTGAGTTATCACAATGTCCTACATAAAAACTGCATCTCCTACAATACTGCCAATATTCTAGGACCTTCTCCTTCAGCTGGCAGCACAGGTGATTTCAGGCTGAACCTTTGAAATCAAAACGGTTTCAAGTATCATCTACTGAACATTTGCATCAAGAATATCAGAGACATCTAAAAAAAAATCTTAAAAAAAAGTTTGAGCACCACCATTCTAAAAGAATCAAGGACAACCCATGCCAGAAACTGAAAATCGGGATTATAATCCACTCACTCACTAATAGAAAGTCATTTTCTTAAGCCTGCCTAAAAATTAATATTTATTATTCATTACTTCTGGATAAAACAGTTACAAATTATTCCATATTCACTGGAAGGGAGGATAACTCTGCTCCCTGCATCCTGACCAGTGTTTTTAAACTCTCCTTCTCTCAGTTCATTCATCATCCCTTCCCTCAAATTATCACCCCCTCACCTTTCCATGGCAAATGTCTACATGATCTGTGTTCACTGCCTCTTTTCCTGGAAATGGTCCTCTCCTTCAACAACTGTCATCTAGAGCTCCTACCTTATCATCATTCTGTGTAACACTGATATAATGCGTGCATAATGCATAAAAACTTACAAAACATTTCAAATACATTATGCTAGTTGATATTCAAAACACTCTTGAAGAGGCATATCTCCTGATTATCTAATAAGGAACCTCAGGCTGAGAGGCTAAGTGACCTGTTCCTATAAGGATATAGAGCAAATAAGTGACAGCATAATGCCTCCCACTTAGGTCATCTAATGCAAGCTTGGTATTTATTGCACTGCATTATAACTCAGTCTAACACACAAAATTACATTTTTTAAAAAAGGTTTATTTATTTGAGAGAGAGTGAGTGCATAGCAGGAGTGAGTGCGCAGGGGAGGGACAGAGGGAGAAGGAGAGATTCCTCAAGCAGACTCCCTCCCAAGCACGGAGCCGATGTGGGGCACGATCCCAGGACCCTGAGACCATGACCTGAGCTGAAATCAAGAGTCAGATGCTTAACCAACTGAGCCACCCAGGCGCCCCCAAAATCACATGCTTAAGTAACACTGATAAACTAACCCATTGACTGCTAAATCTTATGGCCTTTCCTCCTGAATCATTTGCCAAAAATTTACTGACCATCCAATCACTAGAATTTTATCTCAGCTTGGCTTTCCTCATCTTAACTATTTGATTCTTAACCGCTTGGATTCATTCTCCTAAGGATGCCTCAGACTTAATCTTCTCCCTGTTTCTGCTTCTCCCTCCCCACCCCCTACCCCTTTGGTGGTTGTGGCTTTTTCCAATAACCTCTCCAAAATGACAAATGATATTTGACAAATGTAAAATGACAAGTTTGTTGAAAATGACTATTTTCTACTTTTCTGACTAGTTCATTTTTTAAACTTTAAGTTTATTCACCCAATACTCCTACTTTACAATAACTATCAAACTAATATTCAAGACAAGTAATTCGCCTTCCTTGATTTCATATTCCAAGGTTGAAATGACATCTGAAATCTTAATACTTTTCTCAGGAATCCTAACAAATAATTTGGGGGATTTCTTCATTCCATGTAGATGTTGTTTTCTATTTGAAGTTTTTATTTTTTTTTCAATATAGCTCCTTGAACAAAAAAACATGCAAATTGTGGCTCACTAGGAAGACAAACGACCAGTGACTAATTTTTTAAAGTAAAATAACGTAAAAGTCCTTGAAATTGCCTTATATATGGAATATTAGTATAAAAAAATAAACCTAGAGTTTAAAGAAGTTAATTGCATAAGTTTGGGGGGAAAATTTTTTTATTATTAATTTACTTTTAAATAATGGAGAAACAGAAAAATTTTTTAATTCATGTAAAAACAGGCAAAAAGCAGAATAAAAATAATGGATAAAAATGCAATGGAATTAAAAATTTAATTTAAAATTAAAAATTTTAAATTTTATCATTTAAGGGGAAGTAGAAAGGAAAATGCTACCAAGTACATACAAAATTGCCAAATTATACCATGGTACAGGAATAAGAAAACTGAACAACTCCAAGAAATATTTAAGATATCCCCAGAATATACAAATGTTACAAATCTGGAAAACATTCGCATGCTTAAGAGAAATAATTTTTAAATTTATTTTAATTAATTTATTAATATATTATTTATTTATTTGGGGGGGGGCAGAGGAAGAGAGGGAGAGAGAGAGAATCCCAAGCAAGCTCCACAACTCTGAGATTATGACCTAAGCCAAAATCAAGAGCCTCAACTGACTGACTCAACTGACTGAGCCAACCAAAATCAAGAGTCTCAACTGACTGACTCAACTGACTGAGCCAACCAAGCTCCTCACCCTAACAATTCAATTTCTAGCCTCTTCTTAGCACCTGCATAGCCCCACAGGCTCCATACAACCATAGGGAAACTTGAAATTTTTATTCCCATGCATTTCCTTCTATTCTTGCTAACTGAACTTATAGTACTTCTGCCCCCCCTAAATAACATCCTGGGGTATTTTGTGCTTCCCCTCCTCTTGCACTGTATATCTAAAGATCTTATTTGATCAGGAGAGGCTCAGGACTTAACATGTCGCAGATGGTGGTTTAAATGTTAGCTCACCAAACCAACACACCCAAAACCTTGCCGCCCCTGGGAAAACTATGACTGATCAAAGAAATGATTTAAGGAATTACTGAACTCCTCAAGATGGTCAGCCTTTCGATTATCTAAGAGCCTGAATTTGTCAAAACAGAAAACGTATTTCTTACTGAGGGATGCACAGAAGCCAACAAGAAGGAATCACTTTATGGCAATAGGCCCTGAGATACATCTTTCTACATCCCAACTGCATACCGTCTAGCCTTACTAAGTATGTCACCTTCATAATAAATACCAAGACATATTTAGGTTACCAGTACAGAGTTTATATTAAACAGTCTTAGCCAGGAATATAGGGAGTCCTAGAATATCCACAGATGAGCTTCAAGGGCTCAAAAATTCCCTTAGATGACGTGCAAATTTATCTGTGTATTTTTCTGGGCAAGAGTGTCCAATGCATTTATCAAGGTGCCAAAGTTGTCCTTAAATAAAGCAAAATATGAAAACCACCTAAAAGGTAAAAGTATAAAGACACAATATGGTATAGAAGAAAAAACTAGTATTGGAAGGTAAAAAGCCAAATTTGGACCTTAGTTCTACCCCTCATTAGCTGTGATACTTAGGTAAGTTGCTTTGCTTCTTTGCATATTCTTAGTCTATAAAAATGGAAAAAGACACGTACTATGAGGATTAAATATAATGTACGTAAAGTACCTCACATAATGCCCAGCAAGTATTGCATTATCCACTGATATTTGCTTTAAGAACACAAAAATGTCTTAAGTAGACAAAATGAGCCACAACACATTTAAAATAAACTGCTAGATGATAAAATCTATTTTTCTTCTGAACGTAGTTTCATCAAAATATGGATACACTCTGTACTCATATCCTATTGCTGAGACAAATGCACCACACAAAGGTAGTGACTTAAACCAACACAAATTTATTATCTTACAGTTCTGGAAGTCGGAGGGTCAAAACGAGTGTCCTGGGGCTAAAATCAAGGTGTCAGCAAGGCTGCGTTCCTTCTGGAGGATCTAGGAGAGAATCTGATCCTTGAACTTTTTCCAGTTTCTAGAAACTTCTGGCATTCCTTGGCTCATGGCAACATCAACCTTTGCTTTAGTCATCATGTCTCCTTTTGCAGCTCTGACTCCCTGCCTCCCCTTTCCACCTCAGTAAAAACCCTTGTGATGACACTAGACCCACCATCTAAACCAGGATAATCTTCCCATCTCAAGACTCTTACCAAATCATGACTTTGCTATTTAAAGTAGTATCTCACAGGTTCTGAAGATTAGGACATGACATCACTGGGCATCGTTCTGCCCCCCATAAACCCCTTGATGTAATCTGACATTGTATAAATTCTGGTGCTAAAATAAATGGGTACATTTACATTTTGAAATAACAGATATTTGGTAAGCTTCTCCTCATTACTTTAAAATAAATCAGCTTTCTAGAAAAGCCATAAGCAATTATTTCTAGTTGCACCATTTAGTCTTAAATCAGCTGTGACTGGCACATGTTATGCTTTCTTTTATAAATGTCAACATCACATCTTACAAATTATTGCTATGTATAACCAAGAGAATGCTTGTCATTTTACTTAGCTTTTTTTCATTTTTCTAAATAATATTTTTTAGACATGAATGCTCTAAAGTTTGACAACATAGAAAAATTATGTTTCAAAGAGAGGCATAAATGGTATGTCCCCATAAGATTTGGTTTTATCATGATATTTACTCGTATCTGAGCACAAAATGTACACTACAACTCACCAGTGGTTCTCTATTTTTGACCAGACGAATGATTTTTACTGAGTCTTCTTCATCGTCAATATCATCAGGCATCGGAGGTAATACAGGATCATAATTCTTCTGAGCCACAGTATCATGTACAGAGAGCAAAGCCTATCAAAGTCAACATTTGGAAAAAAATTAATCAAATATAAAATCCCAAGCACATCCAACTATAAAGAAAATCAAACTGGTGTTATAATCTTGACGTAAGAATGGTGATAGGCAACTACTTGAAAAGGAGGATCTTAGAAATGGGAGAATGTAGGACAGGAGGAGGCGGCACTATTTGGCTGCCATCCCCATCCCCAATGCCACTAATACAGGACAAGAATCCGCATAAAAGTCCTCTCACCTGTATATTTTCTGGTTCATCATTATAAGGGTAGCAGCTGGGGACGGGGTGGGGATTCTTACTTTTACTAGAAAATGAGGCTATAGGTACACTGTTGATCAGCCAGTAGGAATCTGAGGGAACTGTATTCTTCCCTTCCTCCTGTTAGCAGAAAACACACAAAAAGCCGACCGATAATGACTAACTTTCCTTCTTTTCTGGTTTTCTCACCTTTTCATTTTTTGTGTAATAAGATAACTAGTTTGTGTATAATGAAAGTTTTTCTAGTCATGACTGTCATGGTGGTAAATCTCCACAAAACACTGTCACATTGTCATTATAGACCAATGACCAAAGTAACTCTCAAACCTGGACATATCACGACTATTTTAGGAGAGGGTTTTAGACTTTTATCTAATTTGTTCCCTAATCACTACCACCACAGTCTGTAAATTACTCTAGCCAGAAGCCTAGAAATCATCCCTGAAACAAATCTCTCCTCCACCCTACACTCCTGAACACCCAATCCATATCCTGTTAAATCTACTTGCAAAATATACCCTAAATATGTTGTCTTCTCTCAGCTCTAGACCAGAAGCTGGCAAACGATGCCAGCTGTTTTTGTAAAGGAAATGGTCCTGTCACCCAGTCTTCATTCATGGATGTGTTGTCCATCACTGCCATCATGCTACGAGAGCAAAATGGAGTAGGAGCAACAGACCATTTTTATAGGAAAAGTTCAGAGACATCGATGTTGTCGTGTTTTACCTGGAGAACTGTAATAGCCTCTCAATGGTCCAGCTGCATTCACCTGTGGTCTTTTTTTCCGCAAGATATGAATATCTTACAGTTTCTTTGCCCACTATGCCTTTGAGGAACATTTAGGATGTTTTCAGTTCTTGGCTATTATAAATAGCGCTGCTATAAATATTTCTCATCTTTTAATACGCATGCGCACACGCGCACACATGCGCGCACACACACACAATTGGGGTTAAGTACGGTTGGCCGTTGAACAACGTGGGTTTGAACAGCATGAGTCCATTTGTATCCAGGTATTTTTTTGAAAAATACAATACAGTCTTATAAATGTGTTTTCTTTTCCTTATAATTTTCTTAACATTTTATCTCATTTACTGGAAGAGCACAGTATATAATACACATAACATACAAAATATGTGTCATCAATATCAACTATTTGCTATTGTTAAGGCTTCCAGTCAACAGTTGGCTATCCGTAGTTAAGTTTTTGGGAGTCAAAAGTTATACGCAAATTTCTTTTTTTTTTTTAAATTATGTTCGGTTAGCCAACATATAGTACATCGTTAGTTTCTGATGTAGTATTCAATGATTCATTAGTTGTGTATAACACCCAGTGCTCATCACAACACGTGCCCTCCTTACACACAAATTTCTAACCATGCAGGGAGTCAGTGACCCTAATCCCTGGATTGTTCAAAGGTCAAGTATATTTAAGAGAGAAAAGTCTGGGTTGTGGGTTTCTAAGTATATTCAACATTACTAGATACAAGATGAACAATTTTTCAAAGTGGCTGTCCCAGTTCTACTCCTACCAACAGCTTCCATGAGTTCTAGTTATATCCCATGATCCCCAACATTTTACATTACTAGTTTCAATCTGGCAGCGGTATCTCCTTGGGATTGAAATTTCGTATTTCTTATAACCAATGATCGCTTTTTTTGTGAGATGCCTACTCAAGATCCTCACACAGTTTTCTATTCCATCTGTCTTTTTCTTATTGATATGTAAGAATTCTTTAATATACTGGACCCAAGCCTTTGTTAGTTACATATGCCACAAATGTCTTCTCTCATTTGGTAGCTTCCCTTTTGCTTTCTTATTAGTGTTTTTTGCTCAACAAGAAATCCAAATTTTAATGAGTTTAATTGTTTTTTCCTTGGGGGCTGGTGCTTTTTGTATCTGACAAGAGTTTCAGAGCAAAGGAATGAACAGCCTCAAGATGAACAAATATCTGAAGAGATAATAGCTGTAAATTTTTGACAACTGATGAGAGACCGAGCCTGAAGATTCAGGAAACCCAATATATCCATTAGGAAGCAGGAACAATAAAAAGAAATCCAAGATTAGATACATATCGTAGTGAAACTACAGAACACCAAAGACAGGGGGATCTTAAAAATATCAGAAAAAAAATATGACTGAGAGCTGAGTGATTAGCCATAATGGAAACCAGAAGCCAGTTAAATACCTTGAAAGTGCTTAAAAAAAAAAAATAATAACAGCCAGCCCAGAATTGTGTATGCAGCAAAAATACCATTCAGGAATGAGGATGAGAGCCAAGATGAAGTTAATAGGGATCCCACTTGAAAAAAAATAACAAACAAAACAAAAACAAAAGATGCAACAATGGTTTGGGAAGACACTGGACATCAGACAATTAAGGACAGTGATCACTGAGAGACAGGAAACAAATGTGAGCCTTGTGAGGCCAGAGTTTCCTGGCCGTGTAGGGGGAGAAGGTACCCAGGCAGAACCCACTGGTCTCCGTAAGTTGAGACAACACAGTGAGGAATGTTGGGAGGTCAAGGAACTAAAGTTCTCAGAGTATGAAAGAAAAGATGGTGACAGGCACAGGGCTCTGGAGATCTGCAGGAGGCCCCCCTTTGAGTGTGCATACAAAAAAACTACCAGAAAGGATTAGAGCAGTGGTTATCAGCTGAGAACAATTTTACTCCCCAACAGCCATTTGGCAATGTCTGGAGACATTTTGGGTTGTCACAGTGTGGAGGGTGCTACTGCCATCCAGTTTGAGGCCAGGGATGCTCCTAAACATCTGACAGCATACAGGGCAGTTCCCTGCCCTTCACGCCCCCTCCCCCCAATAATTTTCAAGCTCCATAATGTTAATAGTTCCAAGGTTAAGAAACTGTGCATTACAGGGAACAATCCCCAAAGCTCACACAGGGCAGGAATAGCTCCTGTTTCCTTCAGTCAGAGGGGAAAAGCTTGGCATTCACAAGGCACTGAGGACAGTTAACAAGGGATATTGTCTTAACAGGAGGAAATACTTAATCCAAGATTAAACAATGCTAAGATCTCACCTAACAAAGCTTAAAAGCAAGCCTCTGAAGGACCAAAATATTTCCATATAACTTAATTATATAACAGAAAAAAAAACTCAAGAATATCACTATAAAAATATGAAAATATCCAGCATCAAACACAGTAAAACTCATAATGACTGAGAGCCAATCAATTACTGACAAAAGTTATGAGGCATGTAAAGACAGAAGAAAATACTACTCATAATGAACAACATAACACCATAGAGCTAAACTCTGAAAATTACACAGCTGACAGAATTATATAGAACCAAATCCTGAAATTACAGAGAGATTGCAGACAAGAAAATTAAAACAATTACTATACCTGTATTCCAAATGCTTAAAAAGCTAGAGAAAACACTGAAAATGAGACCTGCCATATATAAGAAAGATTCAAGTCAAACTTCTAGAGATAAAAGATACAATGTATGAAATTTTTTAAAAAGTACACTGAATGAGATTAACGCTTATAGTTAAAGCAATTTATAAACTACCTAAAATGAAACAACACAAAGAGAAAATATAGTAAAAAATTATGAACGGAACATTATTGGGCTATGGGACAACTTATATACACCTAATTGGCATCTCCAAAGAAAGGAGTGGTGTTAAAAAAAAATATTTGAAGAAATATGGCATAAAATATTGCAAATTTGATTGGGGGGAGAAAAAGCCCCTAGGTCCAAGAAGTTCAACATATCCAAGCACAAAAAACAGAAAAAAAACATAAAAAGAAATAACACCAAATTGCTTAAGACCAGTGAGAAAGAAAAAATCTTAAAATCAGCCAAAGAAAAAAGCTTAAAATGACAACACACATCAGAAACAATACGAGCTTCAAGATAAAAGAGCAACATCTTTTAAATACTTAAAGAAAACTGGCAACCTAAAATTCTATACCCAGCAAAAATATCTTTTAATAATGAAGGGATAATGAAGACTTTTTAAAGACATAAAAAAGTTGAAGGAATTCATCACCAGGAAACTTGCACTACAAAAAATGGTATATGAAGTTTTTCAGACAGGAAGATAGGAATAGACAGTGGATGGGATATGGATCTATATAGAGTTGAATGAAAAACATCAGAAATGTTCACTATCTGGGTATCTATGATAACTATCTTGCACATAGATAAGACTAATAGAGATCACTAATAAACATCTTTTAAAATAAAATAATTATCATAGTTGATAGGCAATACTAACAGCAGCAGCTATGTATTTTTCCTCTTTAGCTTTGTATTCATCTCCATGTCTGGATTCCAAAATACATTTTTAAGATTCATAGATATTGAGTTCCTAATTCTTTAATAGTTTTGCTTTACAAATATATTTGGTTAGCAACATTTTTATTTTGGACAACTAAAAGTAACTCTGTATTCTATTTGCCTGTTTTAACTGTGACGACTTTACTCTTCAATATAGATTGTCCTTTTGAAAGGCAACACACCTAAATAAGAAAATTGTATTTCCATATGCCATAACCACCCCAATCAGAACTGATGGGTTTACCTGTTGCTCAGAAGACTATGCAGGAAATTGAACACTGGGCCTTATAACTCATCAGAAGCACAGACTTTCACTGCTTTGGACCCCCTGGAGTCAATTCTATATTTTAGTATCTGTCAGGTCAACAGAATTAAGTGTCTAACTCATAAGAATGAGTAACACTGATTTATTCCTCCAGAAGGAA